GTGAGGAGGGGTTTAATAAAAAAAATTTGTTAGTGTTCAACGAAAAGGTATTGTATTTCGTATATGAAAAAACTGTTGTTGTGAATCATTTTGTTGAGGATAATTGTTACACGCAACCATTTTGGAAGCAAAAAAAAAGTAATTTTTTAAAAAACGTTGTTTTTATAAAAAAAATTTGTAAAGAAAAAAAAAGAGTTAAAAAAAACCGTTTTTTTTTTTAAAAAATTGGATTAAGATAAATTTTTATACAAGTTTATCAAAGCAATTGGCTTCGAGACAAAAATTTAGGCAAGAAAGAAAGCCATTATAGCTAAATTGTAAAAAATAAAATTTGGAGTTAAAAAAAAATAGTTAAATAATTAAAAAATAATTAATTAAAATAATAATAATAACGAGTTATCTAAAATCTTTATTAAATATAATAATTAATTAATTATACTACAATTATTATTGAAGTTATTAAAGTATTAGAGATTGGGGGTTTTTTTTTTGTATAAAAAAAATTGGTGAATTGAATTTTTTTTTTTATATTTGTAAAGAAGAAAAAATTTTTTTTTTTTGAAAAAAAATAAAATGGGAAAAATGGGTTGGTTATATGAACATTTTTAACATTTTTGCAATTCGGCAAATGATTGGATGAACACAATATTTTTTATTTTAAAAAAAATATTGGTACAACATATTTTTATTTTCGTATAATAAAAACTTTCCAATCTTGGAGTTTTTTTAGTTGTTGCTCATAGTAGTAATGTATAACTTAATTTGGCAAATAATAATGTAATAAGCCATTTTTCATATGCAATTTTTACATTTCTTCCCCTAATTTTTCGATTAATAATTTTTACAAGAATTTTGCATTTTGCATTTCTTTGATTGTAATACCACTAATAAATACAATTATTAACAAGAAAATCCAAAAAAAGAAAAACCTTGGTTTCATGTTCAACACAATTACGAAAAATCGCATTTATATTTATAATAATAATTGCTTTAAGTTATTTCATCAAAGCCTTTCAAGAGTAATAATAATAATAAATAAATAAATAAAGATTTGGGAACATTTATTATCGATTTCTAAAAATATTATTATTATTATGTTGATCCAAATAAAAAAAAGTTTCCCATCAAGATCTACTGAAATCGTGACCATATTTGAAAATGAAAAATTACATCAAATGTTCACCTAATTTTAAAAAATATTTCGATCAAGTTGCTGACAATAATTACTACGGCTTTTTTTTAAAGAAAAACTTC